CTTAACAGATACAAACTTCTCTGCTAAAGGCGTGAGCTTGCAGTTTCTCAATCTCAGGCCTGTTTTTCTGGCCTTTCAGATCAAACTCGTGCTCAGTTTTAGAATCTTAATTGTGCTGAGCACCCTTGGGCTAGATGCGCTGCTCAGCATTCGCCTGGAAACTGCATTCTTCTGCGCTTCTGGGGCACTCACACTGGGTCCCGAAACCGGAAGCCCGAAGCCGGAAGCCGCATCTCCTCGCCATACCTCTCCACGCTGTCCTAACAGTGGTGGGCAGCATTCTTCCCCCATTTCAAGCTATCACTCTGTCAGATGACCTTGACTCAGGGCTTTTTTTTTTTTCTTTTCCAAAATGGAAATATTTGCTAGTTTTTTTCCCCTCAAGTATAGAGGAAATGTTCCTTAGTGGCATTTTCCATTACTGAGCTCTTGTGCCTGTATGTTTTCAGCATAGCCCTTATCTTTGTTTTTGTGAATAAAATATATGTCTGCTTATTAAATAAAGTAATGTCTGTCTCCCTAACTAGAAAGATGTTAGGTTTCAGGAAGGCAGAGTCATTACCTGTGTTGTTCCATTTTTATTCCCATCACCTGCAGGTGAACATGCAGGATTCCTGAAGATTAAGTGAATGCATCAATGAAAATAACCTTCTACATTACGTATCAGTATCAAGACTGAATTCATGAGCTCAGATTAATAACCATATTTACTCCATGATCAGTTTTGGAAAGTTTTATAAAACCATGTAGAGCAGGGCCACTGAAATACAGGCACTAGCTAATGCATGGGCCGTTATAAGTGGCTGCTAATCATTTTTCATCTTGATTAATTTTCTGATACCTTCCTTACATCATCTTTCATAATCCCTCACTCAGGAAGGAGATACTATCTCCTATTTTGTTCAGTCGATAATGGTCAACTAAACTGGGCTTTTTCATTGATTTTTCTCTTCATTTCAAAATAACTTACTCTCTTGGGATACTGCCTAATCTCTACTTTCAACTTGGAAGTCTCAAGTGCGTCTATTTCCTCAAGATACTATGCAATCTCCCTTCTCTAATCCATCAGGTCTGTTTATAGAAACTACAATCTCTTTCTTTCACTCATCTCTGTCTCTTTCCCCTCTGTTCCCAGATGTTCAGTCAATAAAAGTTTACAGTCTAAGAAGAGAAAGCAGGAAAAGAGTACAGGAAATAAGGTAATAGAGGGTTTAATTTTACATAAGGCCAACAGGACCACTTTCTCTGTGAATAAAGCTTAGACTGAACTGAGGCCCACACCTTGTAGGTATTCATTTATCTTTTTCTTTGCGGAACTGGGGATTGAACTCAGGCCCTTGTGCTTGCCAGGGAAGCACTTATTCTACTGAGCCATCTCCCCTGCCCCTGTAGGTATTCATTCAGAGGCAATATCAAGAGTCCTAAATTGTAGGTTCCCTGTCACAAGTGATTCACAGTCTCCAAGTGCAGTTTCTATAATATATGGCAACCAGCTATCCAGCAAAGCCATAAAACCTTCTAAACTGCTTTGCCACATGGAGATCAACAACCTGCCACAACAGATGAGCTTTTAAAGTTTTTCAAAGGGGGGGAAAAAAAGCATGAACACAAAGAATAGATGCCACTTCATGAAATATGTCTGCACTGAAAGTATCATTCTTAGCGGCCAGAGTGTTGCTAAAGCCAAGAAGCCCTTCATAACTGGTAGAAGATTGATATTCTGCCTTGTGCTAAGGATATTTGTTGTGAACGTGGAGAACAGTTTTCACTTTGAAAGGCAGTACATGTTCCTCTCCTGCCTGGCACAATCAGATGGACTGATACAGTAGCAGAGGAGAAGGAGGCATCACTGTTAGAGAAGATTAATGAGGCACCACGGCATCAGTGTGGATTGAGGAGTCTGCTGACGTTGACAACAAGGCAACAGTGCTGGTGTGACGAGCTTGATATTTTAGGAGGACGTACATGAGAATGCCATGTGCATGCCTGTTGCCAACCAAAAGTGCACCTACAGAATTATTCAAGTCTCTGGATGACTACGTAGTAGGATAAATGAATCAGTCATTTTGTGTCGACAGATGCATGGTGAAGCAGTCCCTATGATGGGAGGACTTTCTGGTTTCACTACTTAAGCCAAGATGCTGCCTCTCAACATGAGTCTACATGCTGTGTCATCCATAGAAAATGCAAACCAGTAGAAAAATGTCACTCAAACTTAACAGTGTCTTGTGGGGTACAATTAAAACCATCAACCGCATGACAGTTCATGTCCTTAACTCATGTCTGCGCAGTTCTGTGAGGAGATGGAGGAAGAGCACGCGTGTCTCCTCTTATACACAGGACGGTGTGTGTAAAGGTCGATTGTTGGGGCCGGGGAGATGGCTCAGTGGAATAAGCGCTTCCCTGGCAAGCACAAGGGCCTGAGTTCAATCCGCCATTCCACCAAAAAAAAAAAAAAAAAAAAAAAAAAAAGGTAGATTGTCACCCAGAGTTTCTGAGTTATGAGAGTAACTCCAGAGATTTCTTTTAGAAAAACAGTAACCACTGGCAGGACATTTCATTGACACAAAACTTGCTTACTCATATGACATATTCAAACTGCTCAATGAACCCAACCTGTCACTTCAGGGAAGAAAGAAAACTGCATACAAGTTGGAAGATAAAGTGGATGCAATGAAAGCCAAACTGGAATTATGTGGGCAACAGGTGAATGTGGGGATTTCTGACATTTTACATAGAAGCAGAGAATTTGAAGAGAATGAGGTAAGCAGGTCCTTCTTTCTCCTAGCTAGTGCATGCCATCTATTTTAGCTTTCGAATGAGTCTGAACATTACTTCCCAACTACAAAATATCGATCCCCACTTGGAAGGAATGGACCTGTGGCCACTGATGAATAAGCCAGGTGTATCAGTTAATTTCCCATAGCTGCAACAAAATACCCGATACCTGCGAGTTAAATGAGAAAATGTTCACTTAGCTCACAGTGTGTAGAAGTTTCAGTCCATAGTTGGCTGACCTGAAAGCAGAGTGGCATAGCAGAGGAGAAACGGTTCATGGCTTGGCGGGCGGGAAGCAGTGAGCCTTCCTTCTTTCCCTTTTTATTCCATCTAGGTTGCAAGCCTATCGGTGGTGACACTCACACCCACGGTGAGTCTTTCCTGCTCAATAAACCCTTCACCCACACCCAGAACTATGCTAACCCAATCTGTGGACTAAGCCAGTGTCACAGGCATGATTCAAGTCATTCCCCAAAGCCGCCTCTATGGCACTGGAGGTTTTGAGAGTACATCTAGACATAAGCCACAACACCAGGTAAATTGACTTTGATTATGTTAGAATAGGAACACATGCTTGCTAACACAAATGTCAGAGGTCTTAAAAGTATCTTCTGATACAACTTTATATCTCCAGGCATTCTGGATTGAAGTCAAGGTGGAATGTCACAAAACTATTGAAATCCTCTTTCCATTTGAAACATCCTATCTTACGAATCAGGGTTTTCTTTTCTTTTTTTTTTTTTAATTTTATTCATTTATTTATGTGTGTGTGTGTGTGTGTGTGTGTGTGTGGCCAGCTCAGCCCACCAGGGCGCGGGGCTGGCTGGCATGTGGTGCTGGGGGATTGAACCGTGGTCCCTGTGCTTTGCTGAGCTTGTTCTAAGTAGGTGCTTTAGACCACTGAGCCATCTCACCAGCCCCTGAATCAGGGTTTTCTGTAGTGACAGCAACCATAAAAACATTATGGAGTAGACTTTGATGTCTCTTTTCCATCAGAGTTGTCTAGTTGCAGGAAGACAAGCTTGGGGCTCCCACTGACTCTGCATTGTGGTGGGTTGTATGATCATTTTGTTATACATTGTAGTGTAATAATAGTGAAGTGTACAGTAAATAGGCTCAAGTCATTCCAAAAACATCCCCCACTCACACCCTGGTTCATGGACAATTTGTTTTCCATGAACCTTGTCTATCTCTGGTGCCAAAAGGTTGGATACCACTGATTTAATTCACAGCAGTGGAAATGCAGAGCATGGGAATGACAAGAAAGGTCATGACTTCATGGCCCACCCATACACCTACAGAGAACTTTACTAATCCCCTGGCAGCTCCCAAGCCAATCCAGTTGGCATGTACAAACCACATTAGGAACTCAGAAGGTGCCAGTCCTGCACCAGGTTTGGTGGTGCACAGCTGTAATCCCAGGGGCTCAGAGTGTGAGGCAGAATTGTAAGCTATAGGCCAGCCTGAGCAAAATGGCTAGCTCTTGTCTTATAAAACTTTTAAAAACAAAAGCTGAGAATAATATAGCTCAGTAGTACAGCACTTGCCTAGCATAAGCAAAGCCAAATCCTCCAGATAGTCGCAGAAAACAACAACTGCAAACATTTGCTGACACCTTGATCTTGGACTTTCGGCCTCTCGGATTGTGAGAAAATAAATTCCTCTTCTTAAAGTCACTTAGCCTACAGTTTTTGGCAGCCCTACTAAATAATATACTAGTGAAGAGTTTTAGGGCTATGGCCTTCACTCTGAATCGAGAACCCTCCGAGTATTATCAGCTAACTTGTGTGGAAGCAGGAAAACCAGTGAAAATGTGTTTTATACAGGAAAGGCTGCTTTTTTCTTTTGGCAGAACGGGGGATTGAACTCAGGCCCTTGCGCTTGCCAAGGAAGCGCTTATTCTACTGAGCCATCTCCCCGGCCCCAAGGCTGCATTTTTGAGTCAAATGGAGCCAAGGTGAACCCTAGAGATTATCTTTTGAATTTAGCCACAGTGGCCTCAGTAGGAGCTGGGATAGTGGAATTAAGAGTCCAAATGCCTGACCGTAGCATGCTTGAGAATAGAAGAAGAGGAAATGAAGGCAGGAAGTTTATAATTCTGTCGTCCAAAAGAGCACAGAAATGTGCTAAGAGCTACAGGGAGAGGTAATCTTGTTTTGTTTTGGGATAGGAGAAAAATACAACAGGGCTGCATACAGATGGAGAATAACTACCCAAGTTACCAGCATCTTAACTCTTCACAACGTTCTGAAGAGTCCATTCTTCTGAATATGCTGCTGAAGGATTCCATTCTTACTGTGCTACTCATTGGCTCAAAAATCTTGTTTTTCATTTCTGCAAGGAAAATTCAAATGTCTTAGCTGAAAGATTCAGATCTTCTCTGGAGCCCTTTCCAATTCATGTCTCTCTTCACTAGAACCCTGTAAAGAGGAACAAAGCGTATCAGACCACAGGCAGATAGCTAAAATTAAAGTCATGTTTCTAACTAGTTTTGCGGCCTTGGACAAATCACGTAAATGCTCCGTCTGGTGGTCTGGACTATCTACATGTCACGCTGTTCTACCTCTAACAGTGGAACAGTGGGATCATCTCAACTTATCTTATCCTTTCCAGCTACTATGACTTGTGCGGTCACTTACTTATTTTTTAAACTTTTTTTTTTTGGGGGGGGGGAGTACCAGCTTGGAGTACCTTGGATAGAACTCACGACCTTGCACTTGCCAGGCAGGTGATTATTCTACTGAGTTATCTCCCCCGCCCTCACTTACTTATTTGTTTCTGCATTGTTTCCAATCTTTCTAAGTAGACTGCTTTACAATAGCCACAAGAGCAGTCCCTTTAAGGTCGGCCTCCTCCCGGCCACCAGAGGCTTGCCTCCCACTCTTCCTTCCCTGGGGTACAGCCCTCTTCACAGTCAGAACCCGCCACGTAGTAAGTGCAGCTTCCAACCAATCAAGACTCAGTTAGCGCAGATCTTTGAAGGGCATTCATTTCCACCAATAAGCTTCAAGTCCTTTCCAGGGCCTCGCTTTGATGGGCGAGGCCATTTGCCGGGATGGCCAATCTGCTTCCGGAAAGGTATTCCTGGAATCGCAGGGTTTACCAATCAAACGAGAAGATTCTGGGGAGGGGCAGTTCTCATTGGTAGCTGCTTCCGGAAAAGGGCCGGGCTTCGAGGAATAAAAATACGATACGATTGGTAAGTGTGATGTTGACCACCGGAGAAAAGCCCGCCTTTCTCAGAGCGGCAGAGCCCGCAGCCAATCGGAGAGAAGATGCGCGGAACGTTTGCTCAATGGGAGATGTCCGCGGGAGGCTGTCACTCAGGTGGTGGTGGCGGAGGCCGGGCTGAGACGTGGCCAGGGGTACGCGGCTGGCTGTTCTTTCTGTGCGTGCGGCAGCAGGATCGCTAACGAGTCGGAGGCTTGGAGTGGCGGGAAAAGCAGGCGCCGGCGGCTGCGCCTCCATGCCCGCGCGCGGGGCCGGCCACTGATGGAGCGCGCCGCCCG